GCAGGCAATGAGTATGAATGGGAAATACATCGGTGATCGGTATGTCAAACTGCTCCACGTGCCCAAGCAGGTGAATCCTTTGCAGGGACTGTCCTTTCCATGCTTGTGAAGTTGCTTTTGCAACAATTGGTATGGCAGACCAAAAGTCTGCCCATACATGTGGGTGTCAGTGATGAGCATTGTATGAAAACTTTGTAGAGAGCTAAAGAGTTGAGTGTTCAGATGCAGACATGCGTGCATGCATGCATTTATGCCTGTGTGTGTGTACATGCCCAACATTACCTTGCAATTGCAAGAGCAGCGTTTGAAGCTTCAAAAAACTATATATAAAGTCCAATCACTTTTCCACAATGGGTTTGTTGGAGGTTGTGCATAACAAGAAACAGCGTTCATTGTTGCTTGTGGGATCTGTTTTGTACTACTGCAGATGCCATGACTTAACAGTAGCACTTAAGGAGCCGTAATGAAAGCTGGTAGTACTCAAATGTTACAGATGCTTGGATTTGAGAGCAGGGAATTGCCATTTTAGACACGTTGTTTTGCAATATGTGCTTGGTGATCCCTTGAACTTGCTGTGGCAGCCATCATTGGGTTTGCGACTTACTGACTGACTGATTACCGATGTTGTGCAGTGCTTTTGTGCATACATTAGCTTCTGCACAGTATCTTGCAGTGTGGCAACAAGCCCCAACAAATTTTCTCAAGCGGCGGATGCCCCTGGCATGGGTTTGCCATCCCTTTTGCAGTTGATACCACTTAGAATTGATGCTCGTTTGCAGTTGAGTGGATTCCATATCCGCTGACAGTTTGACTTTGCCTGAGCAGGAGATGGTGGAACAGGTGGCCTTTGGCACGACTGTAATCCCCAGTGCTCGCACCCGGGCGCTTGTGCCGCCAGTCTCCAGTGGCCTGTTGCCTGGAGCGGGACTGAACATGGGCCTGGGTTCAGGCTTGAATCCAGGCTTCATGGACCCCAGGATGGATCCACGTCTTGCAACCTACCAACAACTCATGGTCCAGCAGCCTGCCATGTCCATGGTGCCGGGATACGAACAGCTCATAGGAACAGGAGGACAGTAAGTGTCACACTTTCTTGCAAACGATTGGCCGGCACAGCATGGCGTGCTTGTTCAGTACTGTCAAATCCCCTAGATTGCCGACTTGCCACCACAAGTGTCAAGGTGTGCACGTTCACCAAGCTGACGATGTTTAGCAGTCAATGCAAGCACAATGTGATGCTCCAGAAGCATGTTGTTTCCCAGCACTGTGTGTGGTGTCTTGTGGATGGTCTTCGATTTGGCTTGTCATTGCTTTGTGCATTGGTGCCCTTGCACCCTGGTTGCCAAAAGAGAGGGGCTTGTGCTTCCAGGACACCTGTTTGATGCTCTTTTGTTCATGACTTTGTGCTCCATCAGTTTGCACACTATGTGGTCCACAAGAAAAAGTAATGTTGATCAGCTTATTCTCATTTGAAAAAATAGGGTTGAGTGCCCACTGGTGAAATAGTTGTACCTGGCTTGCCTCTATTTACAAAAATATGTTACATTTTGTGCATTATGTGTTCACTGTGGGCTGCAGTTTGATTTTGTTATGACTGTGAAACGAACTTGTGTAACCTGTGGAAGCATTGTATGTCACAGGTGCTCTGGGCAAGCTCCTGATTAGCCCAGTTGCTGGCAATTCAATATGGGACTCCCAAAATGGAGCCTTGGATGAAGATCATGCTTGACGCATGAAGTGAAATTCATTCCTCCGACTGAACCTGCAGCATGACATGAGTCAGACCTTGTCAGTTCACCTTTCAACCACCCTCTTTTCACCCACATGTTCACCAGTGTGCAGATCTCCCCTGCTATCCAATGCATTCTCCAGGACCACAGGTGGCCAATTCAGGTGTTGCAACACAGTGCTTAAAAACAGTTCTTGGCATGTCCTGCAGGGGCTTTGTGCACAGCCCCATCCATGAGCTCACCAAGGGTATGCAGTCGCTGCAACTCATGCAGGGAAACCCTGGGCCCCAGGTGCTGAGTGACGGCAGCACCATCAAGATGCGTGGCCTTCCCTTCAGGGCCAGCAAGCAAGAGGTGATCGACTTTTTTGCGGACTATGAGTTCATTCCCGACTCGCTCCACATAGGGGTGGACAGAATGGGGCGTCCCAGCGGTGAGGGCTGGCTGACGTTCTCCAGTTCCATTGAGGCACGCCGTGCCGTGCGGGACAAGAACAGGCAGTATCTTGGCAACCGTTACTTGGAGCTGTCGATCTGTTAACTCAGCGGTCTGTGCAAAGGAAGGAGGGCAGGAGAGGAGGCTCATCCTGGGCAAGGCATGCCATGGTACTCTGGGCATTTAACTGTGGAAGATGGAGCAGGCAGGGGCCTGAAACCCCCTTCTCTTTGTCCCAGGAGTGTATTTGGCTTTGGGTGCTGGCTTGTTGGCTCCACAGCAGCTGGGGTAAACACTGTGGAGGCGTGCCCCAGGACGTGGAGTCAGGGCAAGAAGAACAGCATCTAGTGCTGACGTTTCTTCCTCAGCGACTCTTTACTGTTTGCTGCGAGTCGCACATCATCATGGGAGTACTGATGTGTTGCTGACAAGAAGCTCCCATGGATGGAGAGAGGCATGCCAGGGAATCAAGCAGGATGCCTGAAATGGACAATGTGGCAGCTGGATTTGTGCACAGTGAACCCTGGGGCCGGAGATGTTCCGTGCCATTAGCTGTGTGAAGGCCTGGTTGAAAACTTGGGAACTTAAACTTGGGGAGCCTTGCCGTTGGGATTCTTTGGCATCTTTGTCTGTCTGTTGCTGCTTTTTTTGGATGACCTTGGAAAGTGTTAGCATGGGCATTGTTGCTTTCGTTTTTTTGGGATGAGTTGCCACCATCAGCCAGAGCGCAAGCCATGCATGTGCCATGACCCTGGGTTGGACTGGTGGTGTCATGTCTTTGCATTTTGGGCACATTGTCCTTGTTTGGTGGTTTCCTGCATCAAGCAGCAATGTTCAAATGTGTAATAATGTGTCGAGGATGGGTGAAGTGCAATACTGTGAATGTATGGCTTGGCACATGCAGCACTGGAGCAGAACCAAAGTGGACCTACAGGAGGTGGTGGGGGACACCTTGCAAGGAAATGTGGGAAGAGATTGGTTGAATTGGTTGGGTAGCATGTAAGCACCTTTGGCTACATTCAGGTCTGTAGCCATGCAGTCAGCATGAATTCTGTGTGCGTGCGAGCTTGGGCGTTGCTTGCATTTTGGTGTGCTCGAATTTTGGGGCTGCAAGATGGCTTTCTTCTGGGGGATTGTTTGCGGTGCTGCACTTAGGGGGCCACCTCTGCCAGGGAGCTGCAGAATGCCAGCCTTGCATGAAGTGCTGGGACGCCGCTAAACTTGCGCACTGCCCATTGCTTTTCGTTTTCTGGTCGAGCGCTGTGGATGGGCGTCCATGGGAAATTCTTGCCCCTCTCTGCAGTCGTGGAATGGCAGCGTTTGGCGCGAAAGGGCTGCTTTTTTGTGTTTGCTGGCTTGCAGAACTGGGGATCTGTCTTCAGTCTCCGTGTTTTGTTTCCAAGTTGTGTCACCCGGGTATGCAAGGAGCAGAGGACACTTGGAGGAGACACGATAAATATGTGCTTGTCTGTGATGACAGGTGCAGCGCCTTTAAAAAGTGTACTTTTCAAGTGTACTTTTGTGAGGTACACCTCGCCTGGTGGCTCACAAGAAAATGGCAGGGTTCAAGTCAGCTGGGGGGCCTTGCTTGTCCGTATAGACATATGCCCACATTTCTTCGGAACAAATTAATGTATTGCAGTGTGTTTTGGAACAAGTAAATAGAGAAGGCATCACCATCACATCAGCGATGGTAGGATATGCGAAGGCCCTGGACACTATCAATTGAGAATTTCAATTTGAGACATCATGAATTTGTCGCTGATGGCTATTTTGGAACAAGCTTGTGGCGCTTTGGGCCTCTTCCCGCAATGTATGTCGATTGTGTGGCAACATGTCATGTATTGCATCACAAATCCCTCGCTACCTTGCGTCGTTTTAACATTTACCGTGTGCGCATGTCTTCCTACACCGATATCGACATAGCGGCGCGCTATGCATTCATAAAGCAAACAATATGCGTACAGACCCTTCTGGCACCCAACGTTATTGTTGCTTGCCAAAGCTCCGTTTGCATTGAGTGATGCACACAAAATTACGGGCAGGTGGCTCGCAAACCATTACTAACCTAGAGATGGTGCAGTTTGTTATCGATGCACGCAGCGGCCATCATGGCTGGTGCTTCAGTAGCCATAAAAGGAGCTGCCTAAGAATCGTGTGTTCCATGCATGTTCTGGAGATCTTCCTGAAGTAGATCTGGCCCTCCTCTGCTCAAAAAGAGAGCAGGCCCAGATCTGAATCGGGAACATGCCGTCTATGGTTGTGCCAAAAGATTCTGAGAGAAAGGGCCCCAGAGAGAAGTGCGAAGATGAGAGCGTTTGCGGAGGGGAGGGTGGAAGACTGACAACGATGTCTGCCTGATCGAAGCAAGACACCAGGCAATGCTTTCATTGTAATACTTAAGTGAGATGTTCAACCCGGTGTCTGCCGCCAACATATGTTATAAGCTAAATGTGCTCACTCAAAACTACCCACTCATCTTCCAGTGGGCACCGCTTCAGCTAACTACGAATTTGCCATAGTCAGCCCCGAATTGAGTCTTCGACTCCGCGCCTAACAGATCTGCACTTTCAAGGCTTCCACCTTCACGCTGCAAATAATAAATTTTCCAAGACGCGCATACACGTGACATTTACTACGTCTGGCTGAGTGAGCCTTTTACCCGCATCAGAGGAGGAAACCTTTCTGAAGCGCAAGTCCTTTGCCACGTGGCCTCGAACTTCAGGCAATTGTGGCGCTCGATTGGGGAAGGTCGACGTGGGTATCAAATCTTATCCACCTGGGTAATTGATTCCTGACGCCTCCATGGCCATTGGTTCCGGCTTGGGCGCAATGTACAGATGTCAAACCGGCACTGCGAGCTCTCCACTCGGTACCACCTGTCGCATGGCCTCCCATGTCTGCCTGATATCATCGCCTTATCACAGCCAATGGAACATGGCGTTTTGTAAATCGGTTGGCGCCACAGGCGATGGCTACCAGGCGCCTCTCGATGTCAAGGAAAACTGCAAGGTGGATTGAAGGCTTGAAGCAGTCGCAAGGCTCATCATCTACTGTACCATGCAGTTTTGCAAGTTGATAAATGTAAACCTAGTCACGTGCTCCTCAACACTTCGAAACGCAAATTTGCATTGCACGAGGGGCGTCAGGCTGGGCTGCCAGCCCACTTGCGCATTGCATGTCATCATGCAAGCTGAACCACTTTGCTTGCAAGACGCATAAATTTGGTCCCCCTGCCAACCCACCGTTGCCATTCGCCTCAATCATGTCTCTTCACACTGCTGCTGCTGATCACTTCTGGAGTTTAAACACGCACTTGACACAATGGGCTTCATTCATCTGGTCTACCACTTATATGCCTGGCAGGCATAGGCAAAACTTAGGAATCAGCAAATATTAGCACATACTCGTGGACCTGCTGAACTTCCATTTAGCCACCCCAAAAAGGGTCCTGGAGACTTAAAAAAGACGAAGGCACAGCAACCCCCTTTGAATGGTGCTCCCATGTTGCGAAAATGCCAGGGAGCTTTGCTGCTACACGTTGCGGGTTGGCGCGCGCCCTAGGATTGTCCCTGAGAGGCAAAGAGACATTTATTCGGTCAAATTGTACATACAAGAATGGGAACAAGAACTCAAGATATGAAGTATTGCCACCAAATTTTTGATAGAATGGGACCAAATCGATGTGGCAAACACTATTATCTTGTCCCACTTAGGAGTAAAGAAGAAAGCATTGAATCATCGAAGCACCTGGGCTGTTTACCATGGTCTAGCGCATGTAGCGACTCCTAGTGTTTTGAAGACACAAAACTCACCTCTTGCACCGCCGTTTTGGAGTTGCAATAAGCCATTCAGCAGTGCGCAAAACATTTTTGCAATGTTTTACATGTGGGAGTGGTAGAGGATGAGTTGGTGTTACAGGATGCCCGGCGAGCGTATTGGGAAGGCCGGTGGAGCTTTGGAGCAGGATTTTTCTGTGGTTTTTGGAGCATCAATGGCATAGAATCAGTACAGTACAGCATGTACTCTCTGAACTTGGGTGGATCACTATGAAGCGTTGAAGTTGATTGTGTGGTGCTCTATAGCATGGTGTTGGATGCCTAAGCAAGGACCATATAAGCGAAGGGACCAAAAACCATTTGCCACAATCGCCAGTTGATCTGGTTGGCAATTATTGTGACTAGGGGATCACCAGAGTATATTGAATTTATAATGCAACTGAGGGGGCCAAAACTACTAGGATATTTAGAGTTTGTGAAGAAAAATTAATAGCAAAGATGTGCAAAATGGGAAGGCAACTCCATTGAAAAGTACTATGTGGTGGAGAGAGACCCTTTTCAAGACTTTCACTGATGGTTATGGAATCAGAAACCGACATTTCAATCATCCTGCAAAAATCCAGAAGGGTTCTGATAATTGTCAATTGTTGCAGCTTGGCTATTAGAGGTCAACCAACTTGATGCACACAAAAGCGCAGTCAGGATGCGAGGCACAGTCCTGTGCAAGAACAATAACTGCATTGGAAGCCGAATGTTATCTCCCCCCTTCGAACACGCCCCAAGGGTGGTATAAAAAACCCAATTCACCCGTCCAAGGAAAAAACAACCAAAGGGCCAAAATATAAGGTAATAAAGATCCGGCCAAGATGCAAACGCATCAGCAGTTCCCCCCCAAAAGAGAGTGGTTGTCCTCAACAGCGGACAGGAGAACAAAAGAAAAGATAACCCAAAAGAAAAATACCTGGATCGATCACTGTAGTTCCACTGATACCAACCAAAGATAATCACAAGCCTACCCAGTGCGAAGACAAGTTGTAACCTACATTGCATGTCGAACACAATTACCCTCCATTCTGTGTAGGTTTCCATCACCTTCTGAAGGAGTGATGGGTGAATCACCCATCCTGAATAGTACTAGCGGTCTCTATAATCTCCTCAGTGGAACCCACTCTTACGATGGATATATCCCTCTGGTCCGAGCCCCGGCTTTTTGTTGTTGGACTCGGCACAAGTAGTGCTGCAAAACCTCCAGGGCATGATTAAAATGGGTTGTTGGCTCCTAG